CGATCAACTTTTTAAGAAACAGTTTTGCTCCAACAGTGCAAATTTTTATTTTTTATAATACAGTATTAATATGTTTTATCATTCCCAAAACACAGTCTTGTGTAATTTAACTGGAAGCAAGAGGGGATCCTCAATAGCCGCGGATGTAGTTAGATCTCAAATCAGTCAAGAGATGGAGCTGTGAACTAAAAGTTTGTACTTGAAAAACAAGCGGGATTCCTCAGAAGTCGCGGCTATAATTAGATCTTAAATCAGCCAAGAGGTGGAGATATGAGCTAAAAGTTTGTAATTGAAAAAATAACACGGAACCATTCTATGAGCCGCTATGCCGCTTCTAAAAATAGAACATGAACAGGTAATATAATAGCAAAGGCAACACAATACTGTTAACTCAACACATTGTTCTCTTCATAGATTTAATATACTCTACATATATTAAATATATGGTTCTCATTTGATAAAGAAGTGTGACTGTAATTAATGCTGAATCCATGTGGTTCTTAAAATATATAACAAACTTAATTTCACATGTTGCGTGTGAACACCGTTTGATATCTCACAAAACTAAACGAAAAATATGTGAATGAAATTTCTCCCTCACACGTAAAAAATAAAATAAAAACAAGCGCCGTTATAGATTTTTTTTTTTAAATTCACATACTTAAAACGACAGCACCACAACGATCAAGCTGGTCCAAAAATAATCGCCGCTGATTAGAAGTTATGTGTTTATTTATCTTATTTTTTAAGAGACCAAGAACTGTTTTGAAAAATGCAAGCCTGGCCCTTACACATATATACACACACACACATATATGCGTGCATGCATGATAAGATATATATGTGCATGCTTAAGTGATCTAAATATCACGAACATTCAGTACTTATTCAGGGCTTCCAATATATATATGGCCCACACACATTTCATAGTTAATTACTTATATCCTGTGTGCTTTGTAGCTCTTCTTATATCGTATATATAACATGCCTTTTTTTCAGTTCGATGTATACATTTCGATAAAACGGTAACAACCCTTACTATTTATGTTATTGTTGTTAACTAATCTTATTTCTGTCACGGAAACTTAGTACTATCACTAATTGAAGCAGATACAAATAAATGGTTCATGTAAAAAAAGAAACACACACACACAAAGTACCAAAAATAAAGAAATAAAAAAAACGGAAAGTTATTTTATGTTTAGAGATGCAATTAATGTGTGCATATATGTTTATATAAACACATATACTTACGCATATATATATATATATATATATATATAACACACAACTAAACAATAACCATTTTTTTATCTTTCATGATATTTTAACACAATTGTTCAGAAAATAAGATCGAAAACAAAAAGTATCGTACATAAAAGAGAAATAAAGCTAGGATAAACAAAAGAGACATCTGTTTGTTTGTAGTTAAGCACAAAGCTACATAATGGGCTCTCTGTACCTGTGCATACCGCGGGTATCGAAACCCGATTTCTAGCGTTATAAGTTTGCAGACTTACCGCTGTGCCACTGGGAAGCAAAAGAGGCAACCAAAAAAATACAATATGGTGCTCAAGCTCACAATGACTCACATCTTGGCCCGGCATGGCCAGGTGGTTTGTTTGTTTGTTT